CGTGCCCCGACACAACGCAGTTATATTCTGTTTTTAGGGTTTGCAAAGGATTCCTCACTATGCCTTCAGAAACCTGAGTGATGCCAATTTTGCGTACACTGGTTCACCGGTTGACAGATTTTGGCCAAGGTCAATATGAGTGGTTTGCATAGGTGACACAGCCTTCCCCGAGGTTGGAAACTGCGGTCGTTCTCAGCATTTCTCCAAACCCTGACTGCCACGTTTTGCCGGGTGTGTACCGGCCCAATGTCACTGTGTCACCCTGTTACCTTCCCAGCAAGACTGGAGAACCACGAACATTCTCGTTCAATATGCGAGTCTTAACCGCCGGTGTCCCCTGGTGTGCCAACCGCTCAACGGAAATACCATTATAACTGATATGTGTTAAAACTGGGCTGTCCTACGTTCCTGTATGGACTTTGCGGTTTTCTGTTTCCATTGGACCGAAATATAGATTCTCACCAAATATTAAACCATCTTCATTGATCGCTTGTTCGAATCTTGGAAGGAGAACCCGCCATCCTGTGATATTCCGTGGAGTAGACCACAACCACTTCTGTTGCCGTCCTACCATTTGGCACTGTACAGTCGAACTGCCGGCTGCATCTTAAACGAACCCACCAAGAGAAATGTATTGTGTCATTAAAAATTCTGTTTCACTCCAAAAGTTGTGTACGTTATCGAATGAGGTAGCGAAATTATCAGTATCTGTGGAGCAGAGTCTTTGAGAAGCTAGCAGTCACTGTAGTTACTCAAGAAATCGCCTTTCGTATATATAAGTCGAAGGCTCATTTTCGTTTCACAAGATCCCGCCACTGGTCCGTATCCTAAGCCAGATTAATCCAGTCCGCATTCTCACATCGCGTTTTTGTGAGATCCATTTTAGCCTAAGGAAGAATTGTGCACACATTGCAAGTACTCTGTAATATACGATTGAGCTTGAATATGCCGGAAACTAAGTCGAGTCTTTCTCGGTAGACGAACTGCTGGTGAAATCCGACCGGTAGAGCCGTTTTCTCCCGTAGTAGACTGGTAGTGATCGGTAGTAGTCAGACCCTTCCGTTCGTCGAAGAGGAGGCCTCATTGCAGAACACGTAAGAAGTATCGGACTGTGCCGGTGGCGGCCAGCAGCACTTTGTCCGGCCGACGGATTGACCTTGGAGGCGAAATCGCCTTATTCGATAGACATGGTTTGTGAATATACAAGCTAGGACATGTGCGCATTGCGTTGCCATTTGGGCTCCTAGTGCGCCTACCGTTACTTTCCTGAAGACAGGCTGTGCGGTTTTGCTTAGGTAGGTGCTCTCCGTAAAGTACCGACATTTAAAGAGATTCATTTTTTTTTGGAGAAAAATCCCATTTTGTTTTCGAGGTATGTCTGAAGGACACCTATTTTTGGAGCTAGAGTGTTCATATTCGCCGGGCATTGACATATGACGGGTAAACTGTTGAATATGTAATAGGATAAAATCCGGCGATCCCGTTCAGGCGTTAGGGAGGGGTGCATCCATACACGCAGACTGACAGTAGGCAGGCACGCACGTTATCCTAAAATGCAGCCTTTCCTATTCATAGGGCTCAAAAACATGTAGATCCGTCAAAATATCGTGTTCCCCCCCCCACACACACACACACACACACAGCCGTGAACCGTGGGTCTGTCGCCGCGTTTAAACTTGTGAACCAGTCGAGCTGTTTTCATGAAACTTAGTATGAACGTTATGGCTTTGGAGACAGCGTCAGCGCTATACTAATTTCCTGCGGTCGGTAGTAACAACATGGCGGAGGTGCCAGTTTGTGAGGTGTGAGCAACATTATCACCCAGATCGTAAGTGGTAGTAGGTCTTGAAAATGTCCATCTGTTTTTGAGGTATTCTGTAGAATCTAACTTAATAAAATGGCCATGCGAAAAGTTCCTAGATTTCAATTTGTTGGCGATAACAAATGAACCGATTGAGCTAGGAATGGGAAGTTCGGTATGGAAACAGGCCATGAACATAGATGCACCCTATGTATGAAATATTTCACGTTCTTTTGTTTCCATTCGCATTTGATAACAGGGTGCTGAGAAGAAGATGAAGTGACGGGAGGTTGAAGAAAACTGCAGAATGAGGAGCTTCATAACTTGCACTTTTCGCCAAGTATAATTACAATGATCAAGTTAAGGAGGATGAGATGTAGCACGAATGGGGAGAAGAGGGATACATATAGGATATTGATGGGAGAGCCAGAAGAAAAGAGACCGCTAGGAAGACCAAGATGCAGATGGGCGGGTAATATTAAAATGGATCTGAGAGCTGAGGATTGGGTGATATGGACTGGAATGATCTGGCTCAGGATGCGGACCAGTCAAGGGGTCTTGTGAACACGGTAATGAACTTTCGAGTTTCCATAAAATGTTGGGAAGTTACTTGAGTAGCTGCGTGACTGGCGGCTTATCCAGAAAGGCTCAGCTGCATGACGTTTTCTTGGAAACATTCTTTGTAAGTCAGCCGTTGCAACTTTGGCGAAGGTGCAACTGCTGGGGTTATATATGACAATTGATGTAGTCAGTCTTTGTTTACGCAATAAGTTTTTCTTCTTCTTTACTGGCGTTACAACCATGTGTGGGCCTTAGTCTCTTCCATGGTTTCGTATCGGTAAATTTTTCCGACGTGGGGTTGGTAGTCCCACGTCGAGTCCCAACGTGGAGGACCAGGCACTACACTTCGTGTGTCCCCTGCCGTTTGATCTGTCTGGCATGGGTTTGCTCAACCAGGAGAATACGCTGCTGCCAGCATAGCTCTTCGGCTTACTGGGGCAGCCAGACCTCTGCACGCTAAGGCGGGTAGTCCTTGAGGAGGAATAGAGAATTAGAATAAAGTAACGACGATGATGATTATGTGATTATATGTATTTAGGACTACAAATTATGCAGTAGGAAAGTAGGCTTTGTGAATTCTGCAAGGAACCCGTTGTCTTCATATTCTAAACGATCTCCTTATGGTTTTATGACCATAATTTCGTATCCGCGTTTCTGGTTGCATCATTTCGTGTTACATTCATCGCCCATCTCAACCTTGTTTAACAAGAAGAGATCGTGAGAGACGGTCTGTATTAAGGTTCTGAGCGGGTTCGCTTGTATGACTGAGAAAACCCGCGAGAAACCGCCTTTGTGTTCAAACCGGAATCTCTGGAACGCGGGTACGGGCTGTTATCGCAGCACATATCCCCCACCCCTTTCCTGTCTCTACGAGTCGTGCAGCAAGCAGTCAATCCTATCGCACAAACGGGCAGAATCAATACGCGGTGGAGACGCAATAGGGGCGCATGTCCTCTGACGTCATCTGGCACTTTGTTTTCAAACATTTCTAATTTATATTATCTTAGAGACCGGCAGCAGCTGTCAGAATTATTGTCAGTTTGTGTATTGGAAAGCGACGGCCTCTTCTGCCGAATTTGTTCATCTCTTGGATTCATCAGGATCGCGTTGTTTGCGGCGCGGTCGCAACGAAAAATGCAAAATGCGCCTATCATTTGCCGTGTAACAACTCGAGAACATAGGGAAACGGCGTTTCATTAAAACTCAGATGTTGCAGATTTATGCCAAATTTTGTCGCGCCACATTTGAATTCTGATCAAAATCGGACAGCAGCAGTGGACACACTTTACATGAAGAACTACATGCGATCCTGCGCGCTTCTTGAGCGCAACTCGCTAAATATTTGCGGGAGAGAGAGATGTTTCAAACGTAAGCAATAAGGGAGGCATTATGAAACACACTTCATGTCCAGCGCAGTTCTCGCTGAAGCCTTACGGTTTCCGAGATAATTGAAAGCAAAGGGGATGAACACGCCAGAATTGCTGTGCCATGCATGAATATCCTATTTATTTTGTTATTATGTTTCTGGACATAGATTTCCAGAGATTTTTTGCATTGTGCCTTTAACATGGTAGGTTCCCATTGTAACGTCCCAATATGTGTTTATTTAACAATGATCTGTGTAATAGCATTCACATGGATGGACTTGGGAGGGCTACAAATGGTGCTCTCTGGCCTGTGATTGTAACCCTGGACCTTGTGAATTCAAAGCAGGTGTGTGTCCACATGCAGCACACAACCCAGACAGGCCTGTTGTCCCTGTTTCCCTGTGAGCTAAAGGGAGTGGCTTCATGCCACTGCAATGCACCGGTTACCAACATGCAGGTCAAAATTCTATGTAGGTTTGGTGGATTTGAGGTCTCACAGTGCTAACTGTGAAGAAGGCTGTCCCTGGGATGTGGCATCATGTATTCCTGTGGAGATTCTCATATTCTCTTCAGGGCCAACTAGTTAGTTGCTTTATCCATTCTCCTGTTTATTCTCTCCGAGCTCTTTTGCACGCCTCTGCCAGAACCATGATTTTCTCATGTGTCCTACTCTTCTCACTGTGCTTTCCCATTGCATGCCTGGCTGAACTCCTTAGTTAGCCCTCATGATGGAAGCAGTCTGTACATTTCTACATGGCGTCACATCCCAGAAAATGTTGCTCTTCTGTGTGTTCAAGTTTGGTAGAACATGAACTCTGTTCTGGCAGCAGAGCTACTGTGCATCTCAAGGCTACAGCTCATGTCTCCCCAGACCTACTGTATCTGCTTAATGGTATGAGATGGGAAGGTGCTAAATTTGTAGATGTGATTGGACCTGTTTTACTGCTTGACTTGTGTCCTAGGCAGTATCACAGGTCATGGGTCTGGCCTTTCAGTTACATCTGCAGGACTGAACAATAAGCTCTGCTTGAAAACTTGCAGTCAGAATGACTGATCTCTGAGTCCAGATTCAAACGCACAACCTGCCAAATAATGGGAACGGTCCCGACTGCCTCACATGGTTGTTTCATGCTTGTATATCAGCTGCTGAATGAATGCCATAAAGGATAATATTTAAGTTTCTGTATTTGAAATTTACAGCACTGGGGTGTGAACATGTGTCAGAGGTCATAATGGCAGGAATCTGTTGTGAACAGCTTTTTTTCTTGCAGATGAGTGCCCAAACAGCGCAGATGACAGTGACGACGACGTAATCACAGACTACCTACTGCTGTGCAAGGGGACAGGGCCCCCCATGGCAAACAAGCACGGGGGCCCTGGGCCCCTGGTCCCCACCATCAGTGTGACGCCACACTCTCCTGGTGCCAAGCATTACCCAGTTCTTGGTGAGTGTGAGAGAGTCATGCTCCTGTGGACATTTATGCTTTACCATGGTGAAAGTAGCTGTGGTATAAGGAATGACATTCAGTGAAAAAGCATCCAGCATAATTTGCCATTTGTTACTCGATTTCTTTAACAGAGCTTCCTCAGCTGAATATGCTGAAGCATGTGGTGGTCTGTATCCAGTGTCCACAAATGTTGGCACATTTCCACATGCCAGACATTTCTCCACAAGAGAAACTGCACCTTGATGTTAAACATATCAGTGTCCTGTTGAGAGAGGTCCCTCTATCCACACTAGTTACAAAGTTATGTTTTACATCTGTAGAGAAACAGAAAAAGGGAGCAGGGTAAGGAATAAATTCAAATTTTCTGTTCATTGGCATTAATTTGTCACTAATCACGGATAATTGGATGAATGGGGTTGTTAAGCCCTCTCTGTATCCCAGCAGTTTCCTGCTGCCAGAGGTAATGAGGGGCAATCAGGGTATCAAGCCTCCAGACCCAGCATAGGAGAACCGACTATTTCTGTTTCATTGCTCAGACATCTGTGTCCATCCCATTGATCCCAGCAACTTACGTGAAGTTTCAGATTTCATTTTAAACTGCCTCGTATAAAGTTTCTTTATTTTTCATGCCAGTATATTTGTTTCCTCTGTGACAGGCTTTGCAGTAGTACTGGCTATAGCCAGCCCCTGTACACAGGTCAGAATTATAAGATGTGCTGAAATGGCTGGTGCATGTCAACAGCATAATGTATTTATGTTTCTTTGTAACAGGACATGTGTTTAATCATTTTTTTTAAGATGCCAGTGAGATGAATGCAAGGATATACATATATAAACTGCTAGACAGAGATGACAGGTCATTCTGCAATTCCCCCCCCCCCTTTTTTTGTGTATTTCGCAAGGCTCTTCATATCTCTCACCTGTAATATTGAATGATTATATGGTGATGCATAAAGAATTGGAAAGGATTTGGAAGGAAGTGGTTTTGGTCTGATGGTGTACTATCCTGACATATGCCTGGAGGGACTGAAGAAAGTGATTGAAAACTCCAGACATGATAGCCAGTGTCCTGGCTTGACAGTCAAACTGCGCATCTTGCAAACAGAGGTGTAGGGTATTACCAGTACACTTAGCCTGCTCAGCAGCAGTGATGTCTGTGCCAGGCAGGTAGTGATAAAATGCTGATATAGTAAAGCCTTGCTAATCTGGTTACAGTTCTTTTTTTAATTTGTTTATTGGGGGGGGGGGGAGTCCAACTGGGTCCACTCGGCACGGTGGCCACTGATCGGCATATTGTAGCCTGCCCTGGGTGATTATGATGGTGGATAATTTGGTGACATGAAGATTGACAGGGGAAATTGAAGTACTTGGAGAAAACCCGCCCCAGCACCACTTTGCCCACCACAAATCCCACTTGACCAGACCCGGGATCAAAGCCGGATCACCGCGGTGGGAAGCCAGTAACTAACTGCTTGAGCTATGACGCGGCCCTGGTTACAGTTGATCTGGATGTTGGACAATCCAAATCAAAATACAGAAAATTACAAATTCTGTTCACAGTAGATGGTACATGCTATAAAAGACACATGGGATTCAGGAGCAAGAGGAGTTTCATACTGTGCTGAAGGTGGCTGGAGAGACTGAAACCACATAAGAAAATATCCAACACTGGCTTGAGCTGGACGAAGGAGACCCCGAGTTTCAGCTTCTAGTCTTTCTACAGTTCTTAAATAAAGGCTCTACACAGAGATACTTTATTTTCATCAGTGCTACCTATATTATTAAATTTTTTTCAATTTATTTGTTTTATAAGTTTTTTTTGTTGTCTTTTAAGGCTATTGTTTGCTTAATTAATCCAGATTATCATTTAATCCAGATTGCCTGTCTCCCAATTAATCTGGATTAACAAGGGTTTACTGTATCTTGGTTGCCCACTAAGGAATTGTCTATTAAGAGCTAATGAAATGTCTTCATCTTAACAGTGATCGAGGATGCACATACAATTTAAATGTATTAATGTTATCAGGAGAGAGATCGTATAAATAAGATGTGTTAAGAATTGCCCTTGACAGCAGTTATGGTTGTTATTTCAACAGAAGACAGCCTGCAGCATTTGCATGAGATCCATGAAAGCATCCAGCAGATGCGTGACCAAACAACGGTGCAGGCCCTCAGCAATCAGGTGAGTGTTGGAACAGAATTTGGTATGTCCAGTCATGGTCATCACCTCCTCTGTCTCTATCCCATTGCCCAGTGTATCTCCTGGCATTCCCAGTGACCTTATTTTGGTCTTGTAATATCTGTTCACCTTTCGGCCCTCTTGAAAGTCAGTTTTTCAGTGAACTTTGTCTCATTGAACCTGATAATACATATATCAGATTATAATGAGGCCAGACAAAGAAGTCTCATGGATCAACCTTCTCCGTGTCTCCCTTGAACATTTATGCTTCCTTTTCTAGTGTGTTTCCCTGTATTTACCTCCAGTTATCCAGCAATTCAGTTCAGGTGGATGTTGGTAGTGATAACTGTAGATAGGGACAAATGCTTTAGCCTGGTTGACAAAGTACAACAGTAGGCAAAAGGGGGGAAGCCTCGAGGACTGCCATCCTTTCCACCCATGGGATCTCTTCCTGTGGCCTTGATGCAGTTACACTTCTGTTGCCAGTCATTTTTTAGTCATATGCTGCTGATTAACATGTCCACAGCGTCTCTGATCGTCCTTATGCCAGTACTTCATGTATGTTGTGACCCTGGAAATGTATGAACATAATTATTACTTCTAATGGAAATGGTGCTTTCATATTTAACGGTTGAAAGATGCTATGAATCTGAGTAATGTTTATGTTGCACTTATGCCTCATATCTGCAGGTATAAAATTTGTTCTTGTGTTTACGAGTGGAAAAGGTCCATTGAAATCAACAAAGATTTTTTTTTATGTCTCTGTTCCTTTATCTCAGTCAGTTATTTCTCTTGTATCCTTTTCCAGTCCATTCTGTTTGTATTCCTTTCAGTGAAGAGAGCCATATATTCATCCCACAGAGGCACTGTTCCAAGCACAGGGGCTGTCATCTGTGTATATATGTGAAGACTGCATGTCTGTCTCCATACTGCATCATGTCAGTGTTCTCACAGCAGTCTGTTCATGGTCATTTAGCTGTTACATAATATGTAGTTTCATTGCCTCAGTCACAAAAGCCTGCCAGCGGTCCTTTTGTGGCAGCCGTATCCAGTTATTAATTGCATAAGCTGTAGACATGGACCATTCTTTGAACAGAACTTTATATGCATTTCTTGTTTCTGACACGTATATGTACTTTGCCTGCTGCTAGCTCATCCTACTTGATGCATTCATTGCAGCGAACTGGGTTCTTCCATTGGTATGGTGATCAGCTGAGGCTGGATTACAAGAATCAGATTTTTATTCTCAAATGAGATTTTCTGTTCTCCATGTCCAGACAAGTTGCGTGCTCACACAAGCTCCTATCCAGTGGGCACCAGGTGTAGAGTGGCGAAGATGCATGGCATGCTTACTGCTTATCTCAATCTAGTGCTGAGGTTAAGAATGCATGGAGCCATACCTCTGCGTTCTCATACTTCTTAATGGCATATTGCATAATGAAGCAGAAGGACAACTTTACCTTAATGTTATAAAAGTGGTCAGTAGGAAGACTGAGAAGGAAGCGGGAGGTAGGAGAATAGATTGTGAAGTTGGGAGATATAGTGAGTGAACTTCCTTGGTCATATTCAGTGGTGGTTGTGGAATTAGCTGTTTGAGCCTTTGGTTTCTGTTACCAGATTTGTTGCTAGGCACAGACAGAATAGTTATATTTTTATAGGCACAGAGATGAGTGGTAGGTGCTCAGATATATGTATACTGATTGCAGATCTTGGGGCTCACACAGTATGCCAGGCTGAGTGCCTCATGTCCGGCACTGAACAATGAAGCTGGGTCTGATCCTGACCTCCTAGCATCAGTCAACTCATCTCCTACTTATGCTGTGCCTCTTGGTAACTTCATTGCCCCAGGGTTTCCAGAAATTCTTCATGGAAAAGGTACACATTCATACTTCATTACTCTGGCCACAGGTTATAATGTTGTAATGGACAATACTTGTGTTTCTGAGTGCAGATGGAGCACTGCTGGCCAAGTATTTATTTGAGTGAAGAATATTTCAAACAAAAGTTGTAAGGAAAGTGAAACATATTTTATGATCAAAATGGTCTTTGAGGTAAATGCTCCAAAATTGTTACCATATGTGAACATTTCCTAACTTGCTAGTTTGTGATTGGGGAATGTCTTCTAATTAAAGATAAATTCAGTATCTTTAGAACTAGGATGATGGTTTTATCAGATAACTGGGATAAAGTAAGTAAAGTAAAGGTATCCCTGTAACAGGCCGTGGAGGCTCATAGGGTTATGAGATGTTGAGGTTCCCACATTTTCTAGACAATCGGCTCATAGATGGCTGTAAGGTTGTCAGCATTACATGCCGGCTGCCCTTTACCCCCACGAACATTTCAAGAATATTCCTGATACTCATTTCTGTTAGAGACTGAGTCGATCCCACGGCCATAGTACGGCTGGAAGGATCAGGTCAATTGAAAAAAGTCCACTGACCTCAGCAGGATTTGATTCCACGACCTTCTGGCTTGTAGCATAGTGCCTCAATCAACTACGCTACGACGTGCCCCTCAATGTGTGTCAGATAACTGGGATAGGTGGTTATTGTTTGTATGTGTTGCGCATATATCCCGTTTTGTGAGTGTTAACTGGGAGTTATTCCAGATTTAGTTTAATGCATGTCTTGACCCTTAACACCAGTCAGCATTTAGGTTCTTGTGTCATGGTTATCAGCAGTACTCACCTGCATTACTTCCATTGCATAGACTGATCTTGGGGTGGGAAGGGGAACAGGTTGCTGCACTGAGTGCATGGACCTGTGCTCAGGGTTAATGCAGTTTTTTCTGAGCCCTTACAACATACAAGTCATCTGTATGCACACTGACTGGTGTAACACGCAGGTAATTCCAAGGAGTGGCTCCTTGGTCGAGCAGATGGTGATGTGCAACGACGCAGGAGTTGGACAGCCCTTGAGGATCTCAGTGGCAGTGGAGAGAAGAGGACATCAGACAAACAGCGGAGGTACTATCAAAATGTTCAGCTATATAGCTGATGTCACAGTCACTGTCCATGTCTTACAGTGCTTGGGTAATAATGAAGTTGCCTTTTGAAGTGTGTGAGTTATCTGTGTTAATTTGGGAGAGAAAATGAATGCCATAAAGAATAAAGCAGATTCTCTTGAAGGCTAAGTAGGTAGAACAAGACAAAATATCAGAATCTTTGTCAAAGGCAATGTGTAAAATATGTAATATGTCATTAGAAATGAATAAAGTTTTCTCTTGCATCCAGCTGTATCAATTCAGAGCAGAAATCTGATGTCTGGGGAAACCATCCCTGTCGTCATTGTCAAGGAATAATTTTATGACTTAATTTTCATGAAAACTTCAACCGAGGCTTATATTGTATGGGATGTTCCAAGGTAGAAGTGTGTAGGAGCAACACTTAAAAGAGTATGAATAAGGTTTGAGGCCAAAGTTAGGAAAAGAATAAATTTAGAAAATCCTTGTTATAGTTTATTTCTAAAACTATTGTCATCCTCTTTCGTGGGTAGCGTACTGACCTAGTGTTTGAAGTGCTGTGTGTTTGATTGCAGCCATCACCACACTAATATTCACCTAAAGGCAGGGCATAGCATTATGCATGTCAGTTACATTATACGAGGGGGACCCAAAAATAACCGGAATTTATTTTTGTTATTTTTTATATTTGCATTTTTATTGAACTGTATATTAGTCCCCTTCAAAGTATTGTCCATGTGCATTAATGCACTTGTCCCAATGCTTTTGCCACTGCTCAAAACAGTGCTGGAATTCTTGAGACTGTTTACTGTTCAAAGCCTTTAGGGTGTTTTCTTTGACTTCATCCACATCACGGAATCGCTTTCCTTTCAGACTTCTCTTCATCTGTGGAAACAAAAATTTCTGGATCGTTCTGCACTTCAGTCTTCAAGTCGCGGCAAACATTCACGCGGTTTTCTCTTTGGTCATCTCCGAGCAAGCGAGGAACAAATTTTGCAGACACCCGTCTCATGTGCAAACCTTCGGTTAAAATTCGCTGGACCGTGCTCCATGAGATGTTCGTTTCCTCAGAAAGTTGGTCAATGGTCTTTCGACGATCTTCATCAATTGCACGTTTGGTTTTGGCAATGTTTTCGTCATTTCTTCCTGTCGAAGGACGCCCGGGGCGTGGCATGTCTTCTGTTGACATGTTGCCAGATTTGAAACGGGAAAACCACTCGTAGACCTGTGATTTCCCCAAAGCATCATCATTAAAGGCTTGCCGAAGCATCCCAACAGTCTCGGCTGCAGTTTTCCCTAACAGAAAGCAAAATTTCACGCACACTCTTTGTTCCTTCTGGTCGGCCATCTCACTAATCGCCAAAGGGTTGAAACAGGAATGCACACAACAGAGCATCACAGACAAACCACTTAACTCAGACTGACGCCAGCTCACTAACAGTCGCGGGAGACCCCCAGCTAACACCACCTAGCAGCACACCTCGTAACTACAAAGCATGTGCGCGCAACAGGTCGGTTCCGGTTATTTTTGGGTCCCCCTTCGTACAATTGGTGACTTGGAGCTTTACAGTTGCAGAGTGAGGAAGTGGGGTGATGGAGGCAAATTGTGCATTGCTACATTTCTTGCATGTCTCAGGATTAGAGTTGTAACCGTATGTAACAGACTGGTGGAGGCCAGGCATGCCCCATGGGGTACCTGCTCCAGCCTGCAGTCATTAGTAATTAGTGTTGTATGTTGCAGCATGAGCCTTAGCAGCCTGGATTCTGAGCAGGACGACCCCTTCTTGGATCAGGTGGATAGTGCAGGTAGCACTAGATTGCTTGTGACAGGCCCTGCAGGAGGCCGTCGTGCTGCCCGCAGTACGGGAGGTGCTTCAACTCATTCACTGAATGAGGCAGACCTGCAGGTATCACGAGACCCAGCCACCATCTTAGTCCAGCTGAGTAGTTGTAGCCTCATGGCATCATGGCTTGTTATGTATTTAGGGTCCATTTTGGCTTATTTGCAGAAGAAGTTGAAACAGTGCATCTCTTGAGTTTGCCATATTTGTTTGTTTGCATGTAATACAGCTTAAGAACAGCTGCACAGATAGATGTTCATTAAATTTGACATTCGGGAGTTTTGTTAAATATGTTGTCATATTCAAATTTTGGTTAAAATTTATAATAATAACGGATACTTATGATACTTTTTTTTTCTGTGTGCACCTCAAGCATAACCCCAGTTACCAGGAGAATAAGCCGCTGCTTTGGGCTTGCTTGCTTCCTGTGTGCCCTCCAGTTACAGTTCCTGTGTATAGATAAACCAACAAATGGTGGCTCTACCTACATGTAATGTAGCAAACCCTCCTCCCCCCAAACTCTGTCAGAGGAATGAAGCTGTTAGGTCTTCTTTTCATCACAAATTGTCTGAGGGCACAATTGCAGAAAGGAACAGAGCTCATAAATAAAGCAAACAACTGTCATTATGCCTGGCCAACATGTGACCAGTGGTGTTCACCAGTTTGTAGTGGCAGTGTGAAATGATGTTGTTGTTGCATGAAGATGCTGCAGTCTCCATAGTGTATCTGCTCACTGTTTGAAGCACACAGTGGGGAGACATTGCACTTTATGTCCCTTATGACTGGGCTCTTGTTTTGCAGAATGACTTTAACAAGATTGTTGCAAAAAGGGAGGCAGAGAGCTTGAGGCTGTTACCTGCGAGACTGCCCCTGCAGAAGTCAGTGTCAACACCTTCCATGCTTGCGGTGCAGGACATTGCAAATGAGGTGGCCATCGACGGAACCACTCCCATCATTCCCCCGTGAGTACTGTTATTCCAGATATCTGCACACTTGAATTGCTGCTGCTGGCTGTCTGTTGGCTTCTATTGCACTATGCACAGTACTTGGTGAATTTTGGGTGAAACAGGAGTATATGGCCTTGAATTCTACATTGAAGAAATTATCAAGAACTACCAACCAAAATTGTTACAAAAATTTGTTTTGAATAATAAAAACAAACTTGTCTGTATGTATACTGCACAAAGCTGTATTGTTATATAACACTGCACATATTCTTTTCTTGGTAAAGCCTTCTGAGTATAAGAGCCCCAGTCTTACCCATGGTCATTTAATGTTCTGAACCCATAGTGTTCATGTAAACAGATATAAGAATCCAGTTCCTACCTCACAGAAAGCACTGCATGTCCTTTACATGTATCAGTCAGCTGATGCTATTTTGGTCAGGAGGCTAGTGAACAATGCAGCATCCTCAGCTTATTTTGTTTATATAGCAGGAGAGTAGGAGAACTTTTAAATTAACAGCATGTGTCCATTATCTCTTGCATCACCCAAAAGTTATGGCTGTTATGTTGGGCCTACACATGCACATGTTTCACTAGTCTTGTGTTCTTTTGTGCACCTTTAAGGGTGGGGAGCAGGGTCATCAATGTGTTCAGGTGTTGCAGCCAAAAGAGTGGCATTGAAACTTGCTCAGATGACCAACAAAAATAATGCCATAAACAGAATTTGTATATTTTGTACTTCTGTGTTTTTATATATTGTCTGCTAGGAGGGTACCAACTCCATCAGTATGCTGCCCTGTAGCATTAGTATGAGACTATGCAATATTGTGACCCATGAGAACACATTAACCTAAAAATCTTGAATTTTGTGAAAACTTCGAGGCTCATATGAATAGAATATTCTTATATACTTTTCCAGCAGAGTTTATTTTCTGTTTTACTTGCATAGTTACAGTAAATAACATCAAAATTAAGGAGTGGTTCAAAAACTTGTGTTAACAGGTTTGCTCTAAGGATATGAATCATTCTGTTTCTTCTGTACAGTGTCACTTTATGCACTCTTAATCCATTTCAGTAACTTGTTAGGAGAGTGCATTATGTGGTGTATGTGCGTGCTTTGGTTCTGGGTCATTAACTATGTTCGCTTGTAGATAACAATACATGTGAGCATACACAGTGTCTCGTGGGCTGTAATACTGTGTAGTTAGGAAGGAGTCTGATAATTCTGAGGAACATATCACTTCTCTCATCAGGGTCAAACAGTAAACCAAGTTTGAAACAGGAGAAACAGGCAGCAGTGCTGAAGATGTAGGTGACATGTTCGTCTGAAATGTCAGGTTCCTTCAGAACCACAAGGCTTTGCAGGCCAGAAGACATAGCCCTTGTTATCATGGCTGTGAGAGGCTCAGGTCCAACAGCATGCCTGAAGACCCGTGGGGGACATTTCTGGTTTTGAAGTATGAACTTTTTCTCTCTAAATTTTACAACTTTCTGACAGAGGAGGTGGAAATTAGAACAAATTTGTAGTGTAATGCTTGAGTGTCCATGTCCTGCAGGAGCACAGTTAGCACATGCATACACATGTACTGCAGTGTCAGTATCATAAACAAGTTTCTGTGTATTCTGCAGCTCAGCATTATGATAAGTCCTAATGCACTTTGCTTATATGTGTCTCAGTCCATTTGCTGTTTTGCTTGTTATTTATTAGAACTGGCCTTGTCATATATATGAATTGCACTGCACAGGAATATTCACATATTTTTGGCTGATTTGCATTAGCATTTTACTTCATATAGTGGAATCCCCATTTTAATGTTTCTGCATTGAAGTTTTCTCACGTTTCATGCCTTGATCCCATCCCCATTCTTTCAGTGTTACATTTCTTTGGGGTTTCCGTGATTCAGTATTCATTAAATGGGGATTTCACTGTTAAGCAGTATATGGATGTTTTGAGAATGTTGTTTGCCCACTGCATACTCCACATCACTTGATGGACATCACACTGCACACCTGTGCTCCAGGCTCTTTGCTTTGTAATGCAGCATAAAGTGTACATACACAGTGTGTCCAGGATCCATTATGACTCATTTTTTTAAATTTTTCCCTGCAATGCCATCTGTTGGCAAGTTGTTGTGTTAAGATTCTTGAAGTTTCAACTGTGGCTGTCTATAATTTCAAAGCGCAAACATCCCTGCATCATGTGTTCTGACCTTGAATGTAATAGTACTGTTCTGACGCTCGTTGGAAAATGACAGTTGAACAGAGAACCAACATCAAATTTTGTTTGAAGTTAGGCAAAAGAGCTGGAGAAGCATACAAAATGATGAAAAGTGTGTATGGCAGTGATTGTTTGAGTCACTTGAACATTTTTCGATGGTATGCTGTATATCATGACAGCAGTGAAGATTCCCCACATGCATCAAAGCCGAGAACAAGTCGCACTGAAGAAAATGTGAAAAAAGTGACCAAAATCCTTGCATCAGACAGATGTGTTTCTGCAAGACTCATCGAGGAGCTTTTGGGAATGCCAAAAAGTACTGTGCCTCAAATTTTGACTGAGGATTTGGGCAAATGGAGGGTTTGTACCGCACGCACTGTCAAGCGATGAAAAACATGCCAGAGTGGACCACTGCAAAGACATGTTATGGTTGGCTTAAAGTGATACAAAATTTACAAAATTGATTGTTACTGGTGATGAGACATGGTGTTTTCAATATGAGCCTCTCACAAAGTGGCAGAGTGCAGCGAAGTTGAGCCCAAAGAAGCCAAAACCAAATAGAGTGTGCATGCAAAAGAGTCAAATAAAGACACTGCTAACCATTTTCTTCGATTCCAAAGGAGTCATTCACAAGGAATTTCTGCCAGAAGGTCAGAGAGTGAATTCTGATTATTATCTCGTAGTCCTCAATCGTTTGTGGGCCAGAATTCATCAAATTCGACCTGAATATCGAGAGCAAGGTTCCTGGGTGCTCCTCCACGATAATGCCCCACCCCACAAATCAAAGATCATGCGCAGTTTTTTGGCCAGAAAAGGAATCACAGTCCTTGATCATCCTCTGTATTTGCCAGATTTGGTTCCAGCAGATTTCTGGTTGTTTCAGAAAGTTAAGTTAGCGATGAAAGGAGACACCATCCATGACATCCAAGGGAATGTACCACAGTTTTAAATGCGATTCCACAAAAGGAGTACAGTGACTATTTTCAAAAACTTTTCAATTGATTCCAGCTATGAATTGATTCAGAAGGAGACTGTTTTGAATAAAAGGAGTGAAATTTTGAAAATAATTCACATCTTGTATTTTTAATGAACACAGTTCTAACAGAACCTGGACACACTGTGTACTTCCTTTGCGAAAGTTATTACCAGCATAAGACCTAGCTAGCTGGCCTTAACACATTAATTTACTTTGCTACTACCACCACTGTCCTCTGGGATGTGATGTAACATAGTCCAGTAGGAGTTACTGACATTTTGGGGGAATGTACTGCCTACATCTTCAGGGTCAAAGAGTAAATGAAGTAGGCAACCAGCAAGAAGAAAACAGATGGTTGCCTGATTCACTTACTCTTTCACCCTGAAGGTCAATGCAGTACGTTCTTCTGAAATGTCAGTGAACTCCTCCTGGACTATGTGACATGAGTTCTTCATAGTCACTGCTATGAGAACCTTAAATCCAACTTGACTTACTCTGATGAGCCAAAACGAAGCCCCCAAGTTTGCTGACAGGTTGTGATAGTGTGATGCCTGGTCAGCACTATTATCACAGATCTCAGGTAGTGGTGATAGATGAATTTGAAGGAGTGATGAAATAGTGATTAGCAGGTAACGACTGAAGAAAGTCAGAGAAGTACCTGCTCCAGTGCCTCTTTGTTCACCATGAATTGCTCATGAAGTTACCTGGGATCAAACCCAGCTATTGCCTTGGCACCTGGCGTTCATGGTCATCCCAAACTGGTCTGTTGTGGATATTACTAAAAATTTGCTGTATCCTAAGAATATTTCAGTATTGTATGAGATCTGAAATTCTCTTATCCTTTTGCTCTGCTCCCTGCTGTATGTAGTAATACTTTGATTGCGTCAGGAGCACCATGTCTTCCTGCATGTGTTGAGTTGCTTGCTCTGTGTTGATGTATCAGCTGCCAGCGGCCCAGCGGAACAGAAAGTGAGACAGAAGAGGAGGTATTGGCAGCAGTGAAGCACTTAGTTGCACCCAACAGCCCGATCTCTCTAGATGATTTTCTCAAAGAGTGAGTAGCTTTGCTGCCGCTTGCCTGCCTTCAGTGTGTGTGTCAGACATTACCAAGAATTGCCAGCCCTTATAGTGCAATTCTCAATAAGCTCAGTCTTCCATATCTGATGTCCCCTGTTGCCTATTTCTTGACACAGCTGCCACCTGATGGTATATAAAGGTTTGCATTCCTGAAGGTAAAAGTCACATACATGTGCTTAATTAAGTCCCATGCCATGAAGCCATATGGGGGAGTGGAGGTATAGCTCTACACATTCTTAACCTCAGTAGTAGATGGGGGTGAGTGGTCAGTTTCATGCCCCAGTCACTTCACTCCCTGGGAAAGAGCCTGCTGTACCTGTTTCTGGGAGGCTTGGTAGACTCCACAGCTGGTCTGAACATTGTGGAGAAGAGAACAATTCTACAGCCTAGTTGCTAACCAGATGAGCTGCCCAGGCTTCTGTCTCTTCCTGAGCAGTTAAAATTTAAAAAGAATTAGTTGAAATCAATTTTTTAAAAGAATGCAAATAAAAATCCAATGGTGCTGTTTTCATACTGGATGCTGGCACTAACAGGGTTACACATGTGAAGACATTTATAGTTCCCACTGCCCCAGCCAGGAATCCATGTTACTGCTGGTGTTTACAGCTGATAGTCTCCATTCTAATGCTTCTCTTTGGAGCAATGCAAAAACAGTGTGTGGGGTCTCCTCCATAAAGAAGTTTGTGGGAGAAGGCTCCTATAAATTGGGTGGTCATGAAACAAATCCATACATGTTCATATCTTGTGACCAGAATGCAGCAGAAGCGCATGCTGTATGTGTGCCAAAGTTCAGATATTTGAAGATGAGAGTAACAAATAAAAATGATGTTTAGAAGAAATTAAGAGACTATTAAATTCGGGAAATTGATGTGATTGTCATGTTCAGAATCATTCATCTTTCCCTGCCCTGTCTGAAAACCTAGACATCAAAATGCACAAAGCTGTAATCACAGATTGAGGTCGAGAATAAATTTCTGGTGGTGTTTGCACCCAAGAGAAAAAAATGTCATGACCGAAGAAGACTGCTTAATGAGGATCTTCATGTATTGGATTTGGGATTTGCACAGCAGTGACCATTCAAAACTACTGTCTTCTGGAGTGTGACACTATGTCAGCTGTTAGAAGTTCAGACATTTTGCAGGAATTTACTGCCTCCATTTTCAGGATTGAAAAGCAACCAGCATGAAGCAGGCAGCAAGCAGAGCTGTGCTTGCTACCTGCTTCTTGCAGGTTGCTTCCTTGGCTTGTTCTTCAACCATGAAGGTGAGGGCAGTTCATTCATCTGAAATGTTGATGAGCTTTTTGTAGACTACATAAGTGTTACATCCCAGAGGACTGTACTCTTTGTAGGCTCTTCTGAGAGCACCACAAATCCAATACATTGATGAACCTTTGAAGATTTACATGAAAGTGTGGAATAAGCTTTGAATTTGCATTTTGTCCAGTTTGGAAAACGGCTGTATGCAAGGGGAGGTCTGCTGCAAGCTGGTTTCCTGGCCATCACTTCCTTTGTTATGTTGTGTTTGTAAAAAAAAAAAAAAAAAAAAATTGGGGATTGGGCAGAATTTAATTTGAAGAGAAATAGATATCTGCTGAAGAAGGAACAGAGGTACATGATTTTCGAGGGCATTCCTCCTGTATGTGAGGCTGTTTTCATAAATAGCCTCACAGCCAGTACTGGCTCTTTCCCAGTCAAGATTCTAATCACAGCACTTAGAGTCAGACAGGTTAGAGAAAAAAAGAGTTTCAGTTTGGTTTATATCTTTAGCTATTTTGCCATTCACCTGAGTTAGCTAAACATATAACACAACAATTCTATCACAATGTTTATGAAAAAATAGGTTTCGTACTGATAGATCCAATTCAAGCTGCAAAGTATAGATGTCATAAAGGAAATCTGGCAGATTTTATAATCTTACCTGTGTCCATTTGTGCTGTACACTGAGGTGTGATGGAACTGTCAAGGAGGTAATGCTGAAGCTGTAAGATAATAGCATTTAATTTTGTGTCAACACATACATAATGTGTCTTGTGAAGAAATGTTCCACATTGTACTGTATTGAGACATTTGAAATCTGTGTGCTGCCAGTGTGAAGATGCTTGTAATGTGTACCATGAGCAGAGCACTAAATCTGATGGCAGTCTTTGTTTCTTGACAGGGTGGCATATGAGCGGGATTCAGGCAAGAGGCGGAAACGGGGCAGCATTTTCTTCAGAAAGAAAAAGGTGAGGAGGCATCTCATGTAAAATGAAATTTGGGCCCTGACCTCACAGAGCTTGGATTGCTCTCACTATATCAACATTTATTGTATAATGTTTCAGAAGTATTTCAGAAGTTTTTATAGGAAACCTGAAAGAAAGCACGACTAGGAAGAGCTACCCATAGATGGGAGAATAATATTAGAATTGATGTTACAGAAGTGGGATGGCAGGGTGTGATCTGAATTTATCTGGCATAGGATAGGAGCCAGTGGCAGACTGCTGTGAGCATTGTAATGCGACTTTGGGTTCCATAAAATGCTGGGAGTTCCTCAGCTAGCTGTGCAACTGGCAGCTGCTGTAAAAGAGCTTAGCCTCTTGTAGATAGTTTAGTTCATTACTCAGTCAAGAAATCCTAGAATCTTTTAATAATAATCATAACAGGGATGACGAGGATGATGACGATGAGGAAGACAGCAAATGTATGTGTCTCCATGATGATGACGACCACCCTGTTAATACTGTTTAGGCAAATAATTGATTGCTGGTTATTGTGAGAATAATACAGATCACATAATTGCACTGTTTGGGCAGAATGCAGAGTTCTTTTAATGTTAAAGCGGGTGATATATGACCTTGTCCATAAAGTTCTGAGCCATGTCCCTTGACCCTGTGGGTCAAGAACCCAGTTCTCCTACCCACTTAGACCCGTGAACTCCTGTTCAATATGGGTAAGGGACAGGCTCATAAGAACGACTTGCTTGTACGTGATGTACTATGCCTCCCCAAGGTCGAGTAGGGGATCTCGGGAGAGGAAAACCGCTGTCGGCACTATGGGCCAAGCTGGACGGATCTGCTAGTCCAAACTGGTAGGGAATACACAACCCAAGTATACACAAATACAACTGGCGTTTCCAAACATATAAATAAATGTATATATTGATAACACAAGTATACAGGTGTACTCTGCCTGATGGGCAGGGACTGGTCAAAACATAATCGACAGTTGATGCAGAACTACACTGTGCCTAACCGCACAGACTCAAGTATGGGCATGCCTCATGGCATCTTTCGACTTCTCTAGAAAAAAACCTGTACTTCGGCAAGCCTTAACCCGTTGCCGTGGTTCGTCGTGTATGTTTCGTCAGGGATTTAAATCGTCTGGGGGGGTTCGACGTGTATGTTTCGTTCAGCTGCACACCTATGTTATAACGCCCATAATAATTGATGGTTTTGCTGTAGATTGTTAGATTTTTCGCTGGCCTGTTGTCAGTAGAACAGAGTATAAATAAGACACGACTTTATCTG